TGGCCTAAGGGTTCCTGAGCCCCACTGAACATGTAGTGTAAATTCAGCCCATAAATCCATGTCACATACAATCTTGGGTTTTGATTTCTCAGGGTTTTGCTTTTTCTCATTCATTCAGAGACAGAAGCTTCTGTGTTATCTACTTTTGCTGTAGAGTTGATTTTCATGCAGTTTATTTAACTGAAGGTACAGTTCTTTAAGTGTCATAGCTTAGTGCAGAGTCTTAGTTCCAACTTCTGTCCACATAAAGGTCTTAAGACCTTATCACTTGCTCTGGAGTGGACGTTAAAACTTACCCATTAGGCTGAGTGTGTGGTTTCATGCCTGTAATCCCAGCACTTTGGGAGGCCAGAGCTGGTGGATCACTTGAAGACAGGAGTTTGTGACCAACCTGGCAAAACCAAATTTCTACTAAAAATACAAAACATGCAAAACCAAATTTCCACTAAAAATACAAACAAAACAAAACAAAACTTAAGCCTGGTGTGGTGGCGTGTGCCTGTGGTCCCAGCTACTAGGGAGGCTAAGACATGAGAATTGCATGAGCCTGGGAGGCGGACGTTGCAGTGAGCTGAGATGAGGCCACTGTACTCCAGCCTGGGTGACGGAGACTCTGTCTCATAACAAAGCAAAAAACAAAACAAAACAAAACGCACAAAAAACTCCACCCATTAAATCATCTTTGTTACCAGAACTAGTTACTGCTTATGGGACAGCTGCAGCTTCGATTCACATGCTTCCTCTTTGTTTTTCAATTCCTCCTAGGGATTTCCTTTTATAACTTTCAAGTTCAGCAATATATCTTTTCAAATATATTTGAAAATATATTTCTGTACTTTAGTTTTTCTAGAAATGTGTAGCAAGAGATTTTCTTATTCTGCCATCTTTCTAGTACTGAATCCTTGAATGACTTTTACAAAGAGAATAAAATAGGAAAGCATAAAACAGTCCCTGGGAAATATACACAGTCCTCCAAGACTTAAAACTAGATGTTCCTAATGGAGAGGTTAGTAAGAGTGCCGGACAGGGCGTAGGGGAAGATTTGAGGAAGGAAGTGGGTGAGAAACAGCAGTACATTAATGGGCAATCACTTTCTGCCCCCTCAGATGGTACATGAGTGCTTAGCTAATGGCAGTTCACCTGGAAAAGTGATCATTGGTAAGTCCTTATCAGTAGCTCCCGGAAATATCTTGCCTGAAGTGATCGAGCCTTTTTAGGAAATGAGAGATCAGACTCAGAAAGCCAGGAGATAGTTCTCAAATTCTTGTGAAGACAAATTCTAGAAGAAAAGCTTTCCAAGGGTGTTGGTGACCAGAGAAGCTGAAGGATTCAAGTTTTCCTGTAGCTTTAAATATAAGAAGGGAAAGGAAACAAGGAAAAGCAGGGGGTGAGGGTACACAGGGTTGAGTTGAAAGCACGGGTGTAGGAGTTTTCGCTGCAGAGATAGCGGACTGAGGGGGAAACACTGTTTTGCAGGGCTTGTGACCACATTTCTTAGTATCCAAAGTGTCAGGAGAAATCCTATTTATTTGAGCTTTAGTTGATAAACCTTAAACTGATGATGACAGGTTGAGGCCACTTTTTCTTTTCAGCTTGAGTTGTCTCTTCAGACTCTGCTGTCCCTTTGGTTTCTTTTATCTTAAGGCGTGGAGCCCTGTGCATGCCTGTGAGACCATCAGAAAACCAGAGGTGCAGCTCTGAGTTCACCCCAACTCTTAAAGCCTGCGACTTACTAGATGTGAGGGAGAAAATGAAAGTGTACGTAGCGAGGCAAATGAATTCCACTGGGGTTCCTGCATTCTGGTCATGATGTTGATGAGTCCTATGACCTAGAGCCATGTATTTATTTATTCTACACCAGTAGTCTCAACTGGGAGGTGCTTTGGGCCCCAAGGGTCATTTAGCAATGTTTGGAAACATTTTTGATTGTCACAGCTCAGTGGGGGAAGTGTGTCTGGTGTCTAGTGGTTACAGGCCAGGGATGCTGCTGAACATCCTACAATGCAAGGACAGCCCTGCTATGACAAAGAATGATCTGACTCAGAAATGCCAATCATGCTGAGTTAAGACACCCTTCTCTACATGTCTTATCTGTAACATGGAGGGGTTAGAGGAGGAGGTTGATGTGTGTGGCTAGATTAGGTTATTACCCATCTGTCCAACACCAACCACTTCAGCCCACATCACAGCTCTAGATGCATGAAGGAAGTGAAATGAGTTGAAAACATTTCCCCATTTTCTACCAGAGAACAAAATATTGTACTCGCGATGTTGTGAGCTTTGCACGCTCACAGTGACCACTGCGTCTGCCCCCATGCACTGGGTCATTCATCTTGTCAGGTTAGGTTGGCGAGTTGTACCAAACACGTACCAGTGCCTGTGAGGAGGGGGTTGAGGTTGGGCTTCCTGGAGCTGATTGTCTTCAGAACAGTTTTATCACTTGTCGCTTCTCCCACAGCAACTTCCCAACATGGTGCAGATCCTAAGGAGTCCATGTCCTGCTTGTGTCCACTTGCCTTTGTTCATAGTTACCATTTACTTGTGCATTTATTCATTCATTCAAGAAACATGTATTCCGAGTCCACTAGACATAAGGCAGTGCATTAGTTACTACGGAGAATGCAAAGATAAATGAGCCAAGCCCCTTGCAATATAGTGGGGGGCCAGGATGTATACACCACAGTATCTTAGGCAGGGCAACATAAAGCGTCAGCAGCACTCAGAGGAGAGAGAGATCACTTTTTTCATATGGCCACAAATGGCTTCATAAGGGAGGTAGCATATGGACTGGGCTTTTAAGTCTAAATAATTTTTTGACAGGTGGCAATGGAAGAAAGGGTAAGGAAGGGAGAAAGAAAATGAGAAATGATATGTAGGACGATACTTCCAAGGTGTTCTAAGGAAGGGTGAACAGTCCTGCTTCATAGGAGGAGACACTGCTTAGGAGCATCATGGTGGGTAATAAGTACTTGGACTGGATGACATGTAAGTTTTCTTCCAACCCTAAGATGATAAGATCTTATGATTAGATAGTAATAGTTGATAGGCACTAGAAAACTCATTTGTTCATTCAGCTAAAAAAAAAATTTATTTATTATTATTTTTTTACCGGACACTATTCTAGGCACTGGGAATACAACCCTGTACAAGCCCTGTACAATTTCATTGCACTGAAAGGTGAGATAGGGTCAGAGTTGAGCTGTGTACTGGATCTTTGTGGTAGAACCTGGAAGAGGAAGGTGGAGGAGGAGACTCTGCCCATCTCCTGAATAGAAGGTAGTACTGGCTTGATGGGGGGTGGTGCGAATGGAAAGGACAGGAAGACTGTGGCAGTGGCATAGAGAGAAAAGGTGGGGGGCTTGGGGAATGGCTGCAGTAGGAGTTGGAGTCAAGGATGCATCCAAAGTTTTGTGCCTGAGTTAGGAGGAGGCTGCAGTGCTGCCAACATCATCCGACACCTAGTGGGGAGCTGGATCCTAGGGAAAGAGGGTGAGTTTGCTTTTAAACCGGCTGGTTCATGGCGCTGTCAGGCCACCCAGGTGGAGGAGCCCATTTAAGCCATGGTGAATGTGGTACCAGACTTTAAAAAAAGAAAAGAAAAAAAACCAGAGCCAAAGATAAAGGTTTGGGAGTCTTCCGGATATTAGCCTCAGTTGAAGCCATCCATATGGATGAAATCACCAAGAGAGTGCATACATGGTGAAGAGGGTAGAAACCAGGATCTGAGGAGTGTTCCCGTTTAGGAGGCAGGAAAAGGAAAGGTGAAGAGGCAGTTAGGGAGGAAGGAGGAGAAGTTTGGAAATGCTCCTGAGGGAGGCAGGAAGAGGAAAGCCAGTTCATGCTGAGCCCCGATGCATAAGAATGCATGCATACCCTAGTAGCCTCCAGGGAAACAGACTCTGGGGTGAAAAAATTCCCTGAAACATATTTAGCTGTAAAAGTGTTGAGCCACCTTATCATGTTATCACTTCTCAGTGCTTCAGCCAGAGGGTGAGGAGGGAGGGGGAGTGGAGGAGGCTCTCCAGTGAGTCATCCCTCCTGCACGTTAAGAGTTTTGTTTAAAAGATTTGCAGAGAGAGAGAGAGAGAGAGAGAGAGCAAGAGAGAGAGAGAGCAAGAGAGAGCATGCACGAGAATGCACAAGTGAGCGTGAGCAAGCTGCTTGATTTTTTTTTTTTTTTTTTTGGGAAAAAGTCTCTAAAAAATTTTTTTTTTTTTTTTTTTTTTTTTTTTTTTTTTTATTTTTTTTTTTTTTTTTTTTTTTAAAAAAAAGAGTAAAAAAACATTTTTTTTTTTTTTTTTTTTTTTTAAAGTTGGGATCTCTATCACCCAGGCTGCAGCGCAGTGGTGTGATCACAGCTCACTGCAGCCTTGAACTCCTGGCTTCAAGCATTCCTCCCATCTCAGCCTCCTGAGTAGCTGGGATTACAGACATGTGCCAAAACATTTGGCTAATTATTTTTATTTTTTTGTAGAGACAGATGCTCACTATGTGGCCCAGGCTGATCTCAAACTCCTGGCTTCAAGTGATCCTCCCATCTTGGCTCCCCAAAGTGCTGGGATTACAGGCGTCAGCTGCCACATCTGGCCTTGATTTATTTTCTAATAGGTTCCTAGGGCACTGTGGCAACAATGCCTTTTCCCCTGAGAGGTATACCACCAAGGGGAGGACATTTGGGGACCTTCTATGATTGATTTTGCCTGTGCCATCCTGTTCCCCATAGCCTTGATGGCCAAGTGGTTACACGGGGATCTGTAGTTCACGCAAAGCCTACGGTTCCCAGGTAAAGGGTGGAGGAGGCTTTGTGCCTACTGCTTGGCTCTTATCAAGTCCGGAGTGACCCCCTACTCTTCTCCTCTGGGCCCTTGAAACTCTCCTCATCTAGTCTTAAGTTTCAGGCTACAATTTCTCTTCAGCTTGTCTCTTGCAGTAAGGTTGTCTTAGTCTATTTTTGCTCCTGTAACAAAATGCTCTAGACCGGGTAATTTATAAACAGCACAGATTTATTTCTCACAGTTACGGAGGCTGGGCAGTCAAAGATCAAAGCACTGGCAGGGTCAGTGTTTGTCGAGGATGTGGTCTTTGCTTCCCGGAATGCTGCTTCCTCCAGAGTCGCTGATGGCGGTGTCCTCACATGGCAGAAAGCTGATGGATAAAAGGGGCCTAGCTACTTCTCTCCAGCCCTTTCACAAAACATTGATCCCATCCATGAGATTAGCCCTGATGGCTTAATCATGTCCTAAAGAACTTAGCTGTTAATACTTCTGCACTGGGGATTAAGTTTTAATGTGAATTTTGAAGGCGATGCAAACATTCAAACCATAGCAAAGGACAGTAGTAAGATGTGGCCTCTGGTATTAGGCAGGTCCGGGCTCCAAGTGTAGCCGTGTGTGATCTTAGTGTAGAAATTTAGTTTCTCTGATCTTTACTCGCCTTAAGAAATGGCTGAAGCTAACCATACCTACTTTATAGGATTCTTGTGCATATCAACAAGGCATATAATGCTTCAGCCTTGCACAGATGTTGGTTATTGTTGCTGCTTTGAAGAGTTTCTTTGATTTTTTTTAACTTAATACTCTTTTGGTTGTTTTCAGAATTTCTTTCCCTTTTCTCCCAATGTTTTTCAATTAAAAAATGTAATTAATTTGAAGAAAATTACAACCTAACACCTCTTGGCCAACTTCTGTGTGGCTCTTTGGGCAAATAAAGGGCCTTGAATGCTTTGATTGTAGTGATATAATTCCCTTTTGGAAATAACAGGTGTTTTTTTTTTTTTTTTTTTTTTTTTTTAAGATAAGAGTCTCAGTCTGTCACTCAGGCTGGAGTCCAGTGGTGGGATCTTGGCTCACTGCAGCCTCTACCTCCCGATTTTAAGCAATTCTTCTGCCTTAGCCTCCTGAGTAGTTGGGATTACAGGCATGTGCCACCATGTCCGGCTAATTTTTGTATTTTTAGTAGAGACAGGGTTTCACCATTTTGGTCAGGCTGGTCTCGAACTCCTGACCTCAGGTGATCCACCGCCTCGGCCTCCCAATGTGCTGGAATTACAGGTGTGAGCCACCGTGCCTGGCCTACAAGTTGTTTTTTGACATCATCTATAATGGCTGGTGTCTGTCCCTGAAAACATAACAATAGCACCACGCACCGTGGTGTGACACTCGGTGTTTACAAAGCATTTTCATACACATCATCTCAACAATTTCAGCATCATTCTGTAAACTGGGTCTTTCACCCTCAGTGAAAGTAATTTCTTTTCTGATATCACCACTTGATAAAGATATCTGCACTCTCACATTCATTGCAGCATTATTTACAATAACTAGGATATGGAAAAAACTAAATGTTCGTCAATGGATGAATGGATGAAGAAAATGTGGTATATGTAGACACACACACACACACACACACACACACACACACACACACACACACTGGATTGTTATTCTGCCTTAAAAAAGAAGTAGATCCTGCCATTTGCCCCAACATGGATGGACCTGGAGGATATTATCCTAAGTGAAATAGACACACAAAGAAAAATATTGCATGATCTCATATATGTAGAATAAAATAGAGAATGAAACAGTGGTTAGCACCAGTGGGTGTGGGGAACTGGAGGAGGAAGTGGGGAGATGTAGATCAAAGGATACAAAGTAGCAGGTATGTAGGATGAATGAGTCTAGTGATCTAATGCAGGGCATGTGCAATAAAGTTAATAAAATTATATTGTGTTAGGGACTTGTGTTAAATAAGTAGATATCGGCTGATGTTGTCACACAAAAACTATGTGAGATAATGGATGGTAATCTGCTTCACTGTAGTAACCATTTTACTGTCTATATGTATCCCATAACATCCTGTTGTACATCTCAAATGTACACAATTAAATTTATTGTTTAAAAAAGGAAGCTGTCTTTGACATCACCTATAATGCCTGGTATCTGTACCTGTAAATATAATAGTAATACCACGTATAGTGGCAGGCAACTGAGTTTACAAAGCATTTTCATACCCGTCGTCTCTACAATCTCAACATCAATCTGTGAGCTGGGTCTTTCACCCCCAGTGAGCTAGTGACTGTCTTTAGTTTTTAGATGCGTGTTGTGTGTGTGTGTGTGTGTGTGTGTGTGTTCATGCGCACGCTTGAGGTATTGCTTCTTTTAACATAAAAAGCTAAAGTTTCAAAGTAGGTGGGGTGTGGGTTAAACACCGTTCTAAATGGCAGGCCTGCTGTTCGTGGGAAGGGAGAGTGGCCTCAAAGTTTAAAAATAACCTGAACATTATAGACTCCTGTGAATTCTACAGCCCAGAGCACTGTGAGTCTGTGGGCGTTTTACCTGCTGGAGTGCAGGCAGGAAAACAACAAGTTGAGATGCTGGAGGATTTAAATTTGCAGAGTCCTTTAGTGGCACGCACTGGCAGCAACAGTATTCATGAAAAAGAAAATTAAAGTTAGAACTAATGACCAGGATCGATGTTCCTGAATGGTAGGAGCAGTGCTACCCTTGGATTTGCTGAACACAGCACTGTACAATATTTGTATCTACAATGCAGCAGACCCCTATTTTCTATGGATGAACAACTATCCTCTCTCCCTTCCTCCCTTCCCTCCCTTCCTGACCTCTCCAGAGTTTGGCCAATAACTTTTGCAGATAGCTACCTGCGGCTGACCTACCAGGGAGTTCAGGGTTGGGATGTTTTGGATAGACTTGGTCATTCACTGAAAAACAAGTAAATGGTGTAAAACCATGCTCGTCATGCATAAATTGTGGGCAATAGCAGACCCTTTGAATTCTGAGAATTTTGAACGGTGAAATAAGTTTTGAATTAGCACGCGGTTCTTGGCCTGACTCCTGCTGCTCTGGCACATTGCAGTGCATGATGACAGCAGCAGTAGCAGCAGCGGGTCGGGCTAAGAATGCATCGTCACATTTGGTTTATCAGTAGCCCCACGCGGTTCAGAGGGCAGGCACTACTTTTGCCATTTTTGCATGTAAGGCTATAAACCCAAGCAGGACTGAGGTGCACGCAGGACTGAGGTGCACGCCTGCTGGTATTGTTTCTACCCTGGTAACTCATTTATTCTGAGGCCCTTTGGCACCATCTGTAGAGTCTGGATATATTCTTGCCTCTTGGAACTGCAGAATCATCATGCAATCTCTATGCCCTAGCTCAAATCTCTATTAATGATATCAGTGAGAGGGATTAAAGTGGCTAAGATAATGGGTTTTGAAGTCCGGTTGACCTAGGACTGACCTTCTGCTATGTCACCCACCACCTATGTGACCATCAGGGAAGTCATTTCTCTTCCAGTCTTGCTTCTCTTATTGTAAAATGGGGTTTATAACAGCACTTACCACATGGACTTGTTCTGAGAAATAAGGAAAGTGAATCTAGTTAGTGTGGAGCCTTGCACGTAGTAAGTATTTAATACCTAGGACAAATAATACAAACAGCATCGCCTGTACTTTTCTTTGCGATTATTCTTTCCTTGTTTGAACCATGTCCATTTTTTCTTTGATTTTTTTTAATAGCTCCAGAATTTGCAATATGAAACTAGAGATTATTAAACAAAAGGAAAGTAGCAAAACTGGAAGCCTTAAATTATTCTGTTAGTACTTGACTATATATGGAAGAATATTATTAAAAAATATGATCCAGAGATGGGGTGGTTTTATGAAAAGATACAAGTGTTTATAGGAAAAAGCTAAATCGTCAGTGTGCGTGTGTGTGTGTGTCCAAGGAGCTGGCTTGTCAGTGGCATTACAGAGGAGTATTTCAGAAAGTCTCTCTTGATTGAGAATTACATTTCCACCTTTCCAATTTGTAAATGGCACATTGGGAATATTCAGAAATCTGCAAAAGCGCCTGCCATTCTTCAAGTTTGAATGTACTGCATTAAGCCTGTCTGCAGGCTCCCGGAGCATGTGAAGATAACTTGCGTGTTTGTATACTTGGCTGACAGAACTTGGGATCACATCAGAATCTAGCGTGCATGGGTCTTTGCAAACATGTGTGTGTCATTTTCTTATGTAATTCTTCATAAGGGAAATAGGCATGATGACATTTGCCTTTTAAATTTTTTTTCAAAGAAGTGATAGAACCAATTAGTGGTTTGTTTGTTTTTTTTTAAAGCAGGACTTTTTAATTTTATGTTTAATTTTCTGTGGAAAGGGATCTGAAAATATTCTTTAGGTGGGGAGCTATTTCCTTTTAATAACTGACTCCCCAGATCTTATTTCAACTCTGTTTCTAACAGCAAGAGCTATTCCTCATAAGACAATGAACCCTCTTATTTAATGATTGATAAGATGGGGCTTGGGCAGTTAGCGTGCTGGAGAGGTTCCCTCTGAGTTAGAGGCACTTAATCTCCTACAAGAGAAGTACATTTATTCCTGTTTCTATCATCTAGGTTGATGGCCACTCAACTCACAAGAAGCTGGAAACACCTGGCAGCAGAGAAGGGCTCCTCATCAGAGCTAGAATGTATTAGGGGAAGGGTAGCTCCTCAGACAGGGGCCAGATACCTGACTGACACTCAAACCCTTTTTCACCATTAACAGTTGCTGCAGATTCAGGCATTCATTGACTATTTATTTTGCAAAGGCTTGCTGTGAGGATAACATAATGCAGGCACTCTAGGTAATAAAACAAAGGGAAAGATATGTCCTCTACTCTTGAGAAGCTACACCATAGTTGAGGAGATAAGGCATACATAATTGAAAAATTAAATATGAACATAATGGTGAAGTTACAGTCATGACAACATCAGTGAGAAAACACGGTACTACTATGAACGATACAGAAGCTCTGTGAGTTTATAGGAGGTAAGGTCATAGAGTTGGAACAATTATGAAAGGCTTGATGGGAGAGCAGATTTGAACTGAACTGTGCACAGAAAGAGGCCCAGGAGTGGGAGAAGCAGAGAAGAGGAAGGTAGTTCTTGGGGCAGTGTGAAGCAGGTGCTGTGAGCAGGACTTTGAGGCAGGAGTGGGTGTGGCATGTTTATTTATGTACCTCATACTATGGTGTGTGAGGACACGGTGTTGGAAAGATAGGTTGAATTCTGATTGCCTTGAACTGTCAGGCTAAGGCGTTTGGCCACGTTACAGGCAGTGAGGACCCACTGAGGTTAGGTGATGACAATG